TTTCTTGAAGTGCAGATTTCGTGGCAGGCACAGCACTTTGTGAACCTGCATTTGCAGATTTCGTGGCAGGCACAACACTTTTGTGAACCTCCATGTGCAGATTTCGTGGCAGGTGCAGCACTTTGTGAACCTCCATGTGCAGATTTCGTGGCAGGTGCAGCACTTTGTGAACCTCCATGTGCAGATGTCGTGGCAGGTGCAGCACTTTGTGAACCTCCATGTGCAGATTTCGTGGCAGGTGCAGCACTTTGTGAACCTCCATGTGCAGATTTCGTGGCAGGTGCAGCACTTTGTGAACCTCCATGTGCAGATTTCTGCGCAGGCACAGCACTTTGTGAGCGTCGAGGTGCAGATTTCGTGGCAGGCACAGCATCTGGGGAGCTGGAAGCTGAGAACTGGCGACTTTGTAGTACAACTTTAGTACCCGGAGCAATCTGTGAGCTGGAAGCTGAGAACTGGCGACATTGTAGTGCAACTTTCGTACGCGGAGTACCTGGCAAGCTGGACCATGAGAACTGGCGACTTTGTAGTACAACTTTAGTACGCGGATGAATCATCTCTCGCTGCTGAGTCATCTCTCGCTGTTGTTTCCTGTCTCACTGCTGAGTCATCTCTCACTGCTGAGTCATCTCTCGCTGCTGAGCCATCTCTCGCTGCTGAGTCATCTCTTGCGGCTGGGTCATCTCTCACTGCTGACTCATCTCTCGCTGGTGAGTCATCTCTCGCTCCTGAGTCATCCTGAGTCATCTCTCGCTGCTGAGTCACCTCTCGCTGCTGAGTCATCTCTCACTGCTGAGTCATCTCTCAAGAAATCGCCGCTGATTTCTACGACGACGAAGGTTACTTCGATGATTAGCAGGCAAGATGCTGCCTTGAGGACGCCTGCACAGCTGCTCAGAAATAGTCCTGGACGTTGCGGGCTGCTCCGCCAAGACTTGCGTTCGTTAGCACAATTGCTCAGAAACAGGCCTGGAGTATGCCGTTGCGGGCTGCTCCACCAAGACTTTCGTCCTGGAGTATGCCGTGGCGGGCTGCTCCACCAGTGCCTCGTTTGCCGCGGGCTTGGCTCCTCCGTACTGCCCGCAGGTGTGCGCCGCAGAGACCCGTGAACAGTGACGGAGTACGTCGTTGCGGACTGCTCTACCACAGCCCTCCGACCTGGGCAGCACACCGTTGCGGGCTGCTCCGGCAAGAGTCTCGTTCGTTTGTGCGGTTGCTCAGAAACAGGCGTGGAGTACGCAAGTTGTGGGCTCTGGGATGCTGCGCTGTAGATGTGTGTTGCGCTGTAGGCATGAAATGAAGGCATGAGACGAAAGGCAAGCTTTCCGCAGCCGTGTCTATGTACTGTATACTGAATGAAGAGCGTGAGTTTAGAGACATATCAAACACGCAGAATCAGATGAATCACAAGCACACTTTCAGAGTCACGTAAGATATACAGGCGCATAGTCCAAGTACGTCGTTGCGGACTGCTCTACCACAGCCTTCGTTGACCGCGCTGAGCAAACATGCATGGGACGAGGTGAAGAAAAGCAAAGCTGTGGGTGGTGTGCTGTAGGCATGAGATGCATGGGCAAAAAAAGAGGAGAGCTTTTCTACGGACCATGGATGTCATGTGTTTCCGAAGCCGTTTCTTAATTGTAGTTGTTTCTTATTTGAGGCGTACATCGAGATGGAGAGACAGCGCAGAGTTGGTGCGCGAGTGTTGAAGCACTCATGCTTTTCTGCGTGGCGTGTGGTGGTGTGACCTGCGTTGCGGTGGAAATTGCAAATTCGAAGTCCTGTGTAACTAAATTCATTCCGACGCGCGGTGGTGTGACCCGCGTCATGTAGCCACCCTCGTAGCTAGAGAACCACCCCCGCCGCCCGTTGTTCCACCTCGTCCAGCCCTGCCAGAGGCGCTGGGTGAACCATTCCTTGCTCTTGTCGGGAGGCATCGATCTGCGTGCGTCGCTGTGGACCGCGCAGACAGCCGGAAAATGCATTGCCCGACGAGGAACAGTTTCGCTGTTTTTGCACGGAGGAGCACACCAAATGTTGGAAGAAATGGTTTTGACTTTGAAAACACCACCCACTTCGCGTGCCCGCAGCAGCTGCATTTAACTTTCAATTGCAGATGCACAGTTGCTTCAGCACGCCGGTGTGGGCTGCTGATCTTGCCTTGGTATAGCACAGACCTTGCACAGGTGGCACTGTGGTGGTCAAAAAGTCCGGAGGGCGTGCGACTGGCCAGGGACACGCATGTTGTTTTTGTTTTGGAACCCGTCCAGTCGGATTGGGTTGCCTGCGTATGATTTGTTTTGTTTTGGATTCTGTACGTATAGCTGACCATGACTAGGGACACTGTTTGGAAAGAACCAGCGGTTGGACTGGGTTGACCGGGTGTGACTTGCTTTTGTTTTGGGATCCGTACATGTAGCTGACCATGGTTTGCAGGCGCTAGCTGGCAAGCCAGAGAGCAATTGGTGACTTTGTACTACAACTTGAGCGCGGAGCAATCTGTGCAGCTAGAAGCTGAGAACTGGCGACTTTGTAGTACAACTTTAGTACGCGGATGAGTCATCTCTCGCTGGTGAGTCATCTCTTGCTCCTGAGTCATCTCTCGCTGCTGAGTCATCTCTCACTGCTGAGTCATCTCTCGCTGGTGAGTCATCTCTCGCTGCTGAGTCATCTCTCGCTGCTGAGTATCTGGCGAGCTGGAAAATGAGAACTGGCGACTTTGTAGTACAACTGTAAAGTACGCGGAGTATTTGGCAAGCTGGACAATGAAGACATGATTTTGACTTTGAAAACACCACCCACTTCGCGTGCCCGCACCAGCTGCACTTAACTTTCGCTTGCAGATGCCCAGTTGCTTCAGCACGCCGGTGTGGGCTGGTGATCTTGCTTTGGCATAGACGCAACCCAGTGCGCTGTTGTGAGCTGCTGATCCTGCAGGGAGCACAGACCTTGCACAGGTGGCGCTGTGTGTGTGTGTGTGTGTCAAACGTCCGGAGCGCATGCGTTTGGCTCAGTGAGGGACACGAGGGACACGCATGGTGGAGAGAACGTGGACACTCCTATAGGTCAATTTCTTCTTATAGGAAACTTCCGCCGCCGGCTTGCCCGGGAACTACTTGTATGGTATTATTGTGGAGTGGTGCCACAAAGAAGGAAGGAACCATGACACTGTCATAATTTTAGAATGGAGAGGATGATATAGCGACAGCGGGAATTCAAAATGCAGCTCAGTAGACATATATATATTTGACACCCAATTTGACACCCCTATACTGTGATGCTCCTTTGATGGTGGGAGGCATTGGGAGGCACTGCGAGGGCATACCATGATGATATAAACACCTCCGCCTATTCAGATCCGCCCCCCTAGATTGCAAAAAGGCGGCGGCCCAACATTCCCATCTTCTCCCCTTCCCCATCCCCAGGCCCGCGCAGCGCCGTCCCTCGCGCGCACGGGCGAGCGCCGGCCCTTGGGGCTGGCGAGCTCCGCGTCCTCCATAGCGCGCACGGGGAGCTTTTTGCTTGGCGCGGTGAAGTCGCATGGTGGAACACCGCACCGGGGGGGCTGAGGAAGGGAGGGGAGAGAGGAGAACAGATGGGGATGATCAGATTTTGGTAGTGATTTTGTGATAGCAAGGCTTGAGGGTAGTGTTGAGGAGCTGGATTGGAGATTGGGGGAGCTTATATTTGCTGGATCCCTGTTGAGCTTGAATGATTGGATGTGACAATGGATGATATGGTCACAGGAAAAAAAACACAAAGGGAGGGGTCACTTTCTGCATATAGTTTGACTGTCTCGTATACGTGTTTTTGTTTTCACTGGGTGCATGGGTGCAACGTTTCCAAGACAAGGAGCTGCAGGGTATGATCCTTATGCACTATTGTTTGGATTCCGTCAGCTACCAAGATTGCCAAGGTTCCGCCTACGGATTTGCTCCAGGGTTGTGAGACCATTTCCCAGACACTCCATGTATGCCACGTTTGCCTCCATGGGGATTGTTCCTACATGTTTTCCATAGAGTGTTGGGGTGTTTGTTCCTACATGTTCCTACCGAAAACGGGAAGATGCGCACAGTTTTCCACCTTGAGACTTGTGATCCGCACACTGGAGCGGCAGCATCACGCTGGCGCACGAACATGTAACGTCACGTGCTACTGTAGCTGGCTTTGGGGTTTGAACGTCCCCCGCTTGGGCGTCGGCCACAGGCAAGAGGAGAGCGTGGAGGACCTTCTGATCCTTTGGTGTCACTGGAGAAGTTGAATGTTCACCGGGAACCTCTGTTTGGGGGCTCTAAGAACTGCCTATTGGGAGGGGCACAGGGCACTGGGTCAAGCAGGAGCCCACGTGCGTACGGAAAAAGGAACGCACGATCTTGGCATGAAGGAGCTGCGATAGACTCAGCTCTTTCTCAAACCATGCAAGGTTGGTCTGGTGGACTGGGGTGCCATCTGAGTCTGCACGTTCTTCGCTTGGTTGCTATGCCATGTAACATGTCGGTCAGAATTGGTTTGCTCACCCCCGCTGCATGAGGGGAGTGGCCACATATTTAGATGAGGGAAGCATGATAACATGAGAGAGAGGGGAGACCGAGAGCCATGCAAAAGGAGGACAACTATGGTCAGAAGAAACGCAGACAAAACCAGTGAAGAAGGCATCCAACATGGACTGTACATCTATGAAGGTCTTTGGGACCGAATGTGTCGGCCAGTTGGGGGCATACGTGTTCGCCATGGGTTTTCTCCCAACTACTCCATGTTTTTTGTTCGGTGAACATGAGTGAAGCATAGTGAAGCAGTGATGCTGTGACTCCGCCGATTCAAGGAAACACATGGACGGCTATGGCTCCAGTGGCGACTTGGACGCCGAGCTCCAAAGGCACGAAGATGGAGTGAAACAGCGCCATGCCACCTACTGGCCGAAGGGGTCGTGAATGGGATCTGATCTCCTCTCCGAAAAGGGCCTTTGGAGCTGAAAGTGGCAAGTAACACTGAACCTTCGATTTGGTTGGCCCGACGGCTTTTTTGATTTGACAAAACTTTAAGATGATCAGCAATGCAAACGATGCCTGCGGCAAGCATTGGCAATGCCAGCCTCATGTGTGTTTTCGGCGCTTGGTCATTCAGCATGGCTTTCCTCACTGTAAGTGAGGACCACCATGAACACCACCTACACAAACAGCAGGTGTCTGGACAGGGCAAACTCTGTTGTTCGTCAACTCACCGCGCTCCGCACCGCTCTGCAAACCGCGGAGGCTTCGGTGGCACGAGCTGGCGACCTTCTTCCACGGCCCAGGCCGCGGCGACGCCGACGAGATCACCACATGGCTCCAGCGGGACAACGTCAAGGCGCGGCCGGTGCGAACTTGCGGAGCCGAAAGGATCCAAACACATGTCCAGGTCACGTTGCTGGGGGTGGAAGAACGGGTTTTGCCGGAAGTCCTCGAATCTTCACCTGAAATCCATTCTGTGGGCGGTGTGGAGTGGCAGGTGGAATCAGAAAGAATTGTGCAGCAGAAGGCACTCGTCTACCCTTCCTCATCGCAAGATTTTGGGACTTCTGAGGGTTGTAGAGTCAGAGGGTCATCATGGGTCATCAGTTGTACGAAGTTCCATGTCCAATTTCCATGGAAACAGGGCCATTTCATCCACACCAGGCCTCTCGCCTCACCCCACTCGATCGCTAGCGATCTCTCTCCAGGATTGGATCGCTCACTACTGGTTCCGCGGGGCAACGCCGGAGGAGCTCTTGTCGGATAGCCCCCAGCAGTTTCAGGACGGGGAACACTACACAACAGCTCTGTGATGCTCAGTTCCTAGTAGCATTCTTGCTCCTAGTAGTACGGCAAGGAGCCCCTAGTATAGTGTTCTTGTTCCTGTAGTAGTAAGGCCAGGAGCCCCTAATGGCATCCTTGCTCCTAGTAGCGATGCCCTTTGTCAATGTCAAGAAAGGGAATGTCAAGGAGATTGGTGTCCCACTTCGACTGGGATAGCCTTGCGGGACAGGGTTTCTGAGTCTAGTCCTATATAGATGTTCAGGTGGCCGATTTGCAACCCTCGTGTTCTACAGAGAGCTTCTGAGCTTGCTTGTTGCATCTTGTTGCGGGGTTTCTTCTGCAAAAATTCACTGATCCAGACTGATGATGCTCCAGGTTGTCATGATCAAGTCACCAAATAGAACCAGCCGGGCCATGCTTTGGCTAGATATAGGTACCTCAACCAAACCTAGCAAGGTTGCCATAGTTTCGTTGTTAAGAGTGAAGTTGTTTGCTTTCTTAACCATGAGGGGCTGAAGAGCCGATTTTGGGACGTTACCGCAAACTGGAAAGACACGCCGGCCCGCCCCTGCCAACCACTTCTGCCGGGCCATCACATTTCACCTAGTGTCATTGAACAAGCAAACCAATTAAAGTTCAGCTGATACTGCACTGGCAACTACATAGTGGTTTCAAGGCTCCACACCTACAAGTGCAAGAAATTCTGGGATTGGAAAGCTGGAACCAGATTCCGTTCAACAGATGATGGCTGTGGGTCAAAACTGCACCTCTATGCTAGACAACTATAATCATCATCATCATCATCACCATCATCATCAGCATCAGCATCAGCATCAGCATCAGCATCAGCAGCAAGCAGACAGTCTGACAACTCCTTTGGATCTGTAGACCCTTTGCACCTCTATTAGGAGCAAGGACGCTACTAGGGGCTCCTGGCATCGCTACTAGGAACAACTCCTTTGGATTTTTGGACACTTTGGACCTCGGGTCAGGAACTGCGGGCGCTGGTGGACCTGGTGCTGCAGACGGCAGGTTTGCAACAACTGCGCCAGGTCTGAGGGTGTCATGCACCACCGCGGTTTTGGGGGGGGAAGCGAACACATCACTCACCCTCCCCCACCCCCTCCAAAAAAGCTAAACAACAAACACATAGCTCCCCAAACCAAAAACACGTAACTTTCCTTTCAAACAAATCGGAAGTCACCAAGAAAATGCTCGCGAGCCTTCGTGGACGCGGCACCAATGCGGCAGTTCCGGCCTTCGACACCGGGGTGTCGCTCAGGCACTGGGCTCGTGTGTCGCACCCGGGCGCGGGGCCCGGGGACCTGCGCCGTCTTTCGTCGTGCGTCGCAGGGGCGGAATGAGCAGGTGAAGGCCTACCGGATTTTTTCGGCCGCTTGGCCAAAGAGCTTGAGAAGCTCGGGACGCGTTGCCAATTTTTCCGACTGTGGTATGGGCAGTTCCTGAAGTTGGGGCTAGGTCCACTGGAGTTTGGGTTAGAATTGGCACCAGTTGGTCAAGAGCAGGCCTTGGGTCGTGTGAGTTCAGAACCACTGCACCACCCGGAAATCTGGGGGCGAGATTGGATGTGGAACGTGCATGGGCTTTGGGGGAGTCTATAAACCACCCGAACTGGGTGGTGTGGGTGGTGCTGGCTCCACCTTTATTCCACCTTTAGAGGGCTGAAGCTCACATAGGAGATCACGGCAAGCATTGTTTGGAGGACCTGAAGAGTCGAGCAACAAAAAGTAGCGCCGTGCGCTTACACCTTCTTCGCGCTTGATTGCTTTGAGGACCCGCTGCCAGTGGTGCACCGGCCGTTGATGGTTTATGCAGGAACCTCCTTGTTTTGTCCGCTGGTGTCCTACAAGGCTTGGAAGGGGAGGGGGTCCGAAGGCGAAGAATTCTATATATGAGGCCTTCAACTACAACTGCCAGATCTCTCCACGACTTGGACGTTGGAGTTGTGTATGTTTGGTGCCGATGTTCCATTTTGGGGGGGTCGGCAGGCTCCAGTGCTCAGTGTTTGTTTGTTTTTGAATCCACTACGGTCTGCCGAAATCAAAGACACATCGATTCATTGATTTTTCCTTCCTGGCTATGCGTCAGCCAATCCCGCGTTGCAGGTGATGCAGTGGTTCCGTGGTGGCACAAGTAGAGAATGACATTGGCGGCGCTGGTGGTGCTGGCGTCAGGGAGCGGCTGTTGTTTCATGAGACCAATGTGGCGCTCTTAGACTCTTAATAAGTCTAGGAATGGATTGGGGGTGTGCGGTGTCGGTGCGCCTGGTGTGCCTTTTTGCTGCACTGCTTATAGGCAGGGCTTCCCTAGGCCACAGGGCATACGTCCCCTGCAGCGAATCCACATCACAACCGCTTTTCATATCACCCTACACTACTCACCCTCCACTCACCCTCCACTCCCTCATTTTTCTCCATGTCAGTTGCTCCACCCACGCTGGGCTTCCACCCAGGCTGGGCTTCCACCGCGAACGTGCGGGCGGCCTTTGCTACTGGAAGCGCTCGCGACGTTCCGGACCCGTGGACGGCGACCTCGCCGCGCCGCGGTGGGGGGTCCGGTCGAGCTGATGGACCTGCGCAGGGTTTCATGGGATGAGACGTTCTTTTATCTTGCTTATTTGTTTCTCCACTGGAAGAGCCTTCATTGTTTTCAACCTGACAGACGTCTCGCTTGCAAGCAGCGTGTCAGACGTCTCGCCGCTGATGGATTGGAGACTACAGGTTCCAGCTTTCCATCGCGCTGTTCACACCGATTCCTTGTGCTTCCGCACGTTCAGCAGGCAAGTGCCATTGGTCTTCGTCCACGGATTGGGTGTGGGCCTAGCACCTTGGACTGATCCAGCTTGGCTTGGGGGCCATTTGTCTCTTCCCTGTGGCACCCAAGGACCCGTGAGGGTGCTCAAGGTCTTATAATCAAGCCGTTGGCTTCTTCGTAATGAAGGATGACTCAATTTCTTGGGGAAATGACAAGTCCAAAGCATGGCGACTCAGATCAACTGAGGGCAGCTGGGAGCATCCTCCATTCACACAAGGCAGAAGAAAAAGATCTCCAATCACCTGGTAGCAGGAGGGGCCCAACAATGGAAGAAGTCAGACACGGGGTAAGTTAGGGGATCCATGTACTCCGGGATCAAGAAGATCCTATTTCGTGTCCACCCGGTTTCCTGGAAAACCACGGAAGTTTTGTTCACTGCCAAGTGACGGACGGGGGTGTTTCTTCAGCTTCTGGGGGATTCTGGGGGTCACCTGCAGAGTCACCTGTCCAAGTGCACTTCACTTGAAGCTTTATGCATTGAATTGAGTGAGGTTTCCAGGTGCCTACTTGGTCCAGAATGTTTTTGTTTGCTGACAACTTGTGATGGCCAGGTTCTTTTAGTAGTTTTCTGTTCATACACGGTGGTGCTACTAAGCTAGTAGTTTGGTCATGTTTGGCGGTGCGACTTGATGTGATGACCTTAGGCCACCTGCAAGGCTCCCAGGCCGCAACACAAACGCCGACGCCTAGGTTCCCTACTTCATGTGGATCTACCGCTTGTCCAAGCGCCACAGCCTCTCGCGCATGACTCGAAGACGTTTGAGCCACGCTTCGTGTGCTTTGGGGTCAAGGGCGGGAACATGGGGTATAGACTAATAGACCTTCTAGGGGGGGTCAAGGTCCGGTGATTCGTTCCATCCTTTGGAACGACTGGATCAAGATCAGATGTAGTGACTTCTGCAGAGCTGTTCTTCAACACCAAGCTCAAGCCAGTCTTGGGGTTCCTTTGGAGGTACCTTATATACCTGGAGTGACGTCACATCAGACCTGTCTTTTTTCGCGACGTCGCCGGAACAAATGCAGAACTATGTCGTGCTGATTGTTTATGAATCAAGCAGTCCGTAACGTGAAAAGACATTGAAGAACTATGTCGGCCCGGCCCTTTTTTCACCAGAACTTCTTCCACCTCAGCCCAGGGTCGAGGTACCTATGCTCCGGCTGTGTGCACCGCGATCGATCGACCAGGTGGTGACTTGTTCATCCCGGAGTTCCCCTTCTTGGCCATGGCACCCTGGGAAAGCGTGCCCAGCGCAAGGGAGGTCGTCGCACAGCTCCAGGAGAGAGCCGGTAAAAACAAAAAAGCATATAGCATATTAAGCCACACATGGCATCATTAGGCCAGCAACAGCAGGTTTGGAAGGAAGGAAGAAAACGACTGATTAGGACCACGTACTGATTAGGACAATGATAGATATATAGAGATTTGTCCTTGTCGATGATGTGGCAGGATGGCTCTATGATTCGGCTTGTTCGTGGCTCTATTTGCAGACCAATTCTGCGGCCTTAGCTCCCCCGGTAGTAGAGCCACTTTGTCACAATGATTCACTCTCCCTTACGAAGCTAACACGAACAGTGCTAGACCAGCCAAATGGACCACCCAAAGAGCATCCAACCGAACGTGGCAGCTTTCATCACTCCCAGAATTGGTTCCAGGGAACATCTACAGGAAACCCATAGTTTTGAGCGTGAAAGTGTAGATGTTTCCTTGAGTCAATTTCCAGACACTCCATGGGACTGCCATATATGCCTATACAGTATGGGGTGGTTGACTGGGGGGTCAATGCATGTATGCATATATGGCAGCCCCATGGAGTGTCTGGGATTCATTGATTCACCCCGGCCCCTATGGATACGAATGCGGTTTCCACAGCGCCTCCACAGGACATGCTGGCGGCGCACGGCCACACGGCGGCCCATTGGGCGGGGCATAGCTTCGGCTGCGTGGTGATTGGCTGGGCCGCTGGGCTGAAGAGTGGTCGAAGCCCTAGAACCTCCAACCATATCCTCAGAAGGTGGTTAGATCCCCCCACCCCCCCAAACCACCTTCGAAACGGAGGTAGTTGGAGCCCTAGGGAGATCAGGATGGAGGAGGATGGATGAGGAAGAGCTGAACACTATCTCCTGGCGTGCCCTGAGGTGATGAAGATGTCTCCGTCTTCATTGCACTTCGCCACGTTGATGGAACCCGCGCAGTTTTTGATCATCAAAGCCGAGGCTCTGACTAAGTGGCTCAGATCTTGAAAAAGAGAAGGTGCTAGGTTGGGCCGGTCGGGGAGATAGGGGTTGTTCATTTCTTTGCATTTCCCGGAGAAAAAATAAACGAGACAGTTGCTTGGTGTCTTTGGTGGGATGGGTGCGTTGATAATGTGAAGGCACGGGAGTGTGTTGTTCGAGTAGGTTCTGCAGAGTAGAACTGTGGAGTGAAAAACAAAAACATACAGAGGTCCGGGAGTAGGTCCGGGCCATGTTCCCATTGTTTCCTTCCATTGACTCATTGACCACTTCAAATTAAGCCAAACTCGTCCCAAGTGGGTTGAGGCTGAGGTGTGAGACCGTGCCTGGCTTGTTTGAACGTGGCCGTTCTTGGGCTACCAGTGAGTGCCAGTGAAATTGAAACACACAGAAGAAAGAGGAGGACTGTCCAAAACGGCAGAAAGTCGTAAGGAGAAGCTCCATTTTCAACCACACCATGCTGAGTATACTTTCATACTGTCCGGCCAAGATGAGCAGTTGGGGACTCCAAAGCTAGCAGCTAGAGTTTTCTGTGGGACGTTTCTTCACCGAATAGCCACAGAATGCCCCCAAGTTTGCCCCAAGTTGGAGCCTCTACATGGCTTTAATTCTGCCATGTGATAGTTTGTTGAAGCGAGGTGAGCCAAAATTGAATGGTAGAACCATTGTGGCACTGCAACTCTGAAAGGGAGTTGAGTTCAGAAAGGCTGGACACTGGACACGTGCTCCTGGCGCCAAGGATTCTTTGGGGACTCCCCATGTGCCTTGGACGGTCGTCGGGCATGGGGTGTGGTCCATTCGCAAGCGTTGATGGTCAAAAGTCAGGGTCAATACATCGCCACCTTTGGCAACTTGCCTTGAACCAGGCCGGTCCAACACTGAGAACCGAAGCAGAATCACCTTGGGTTGGCTCCCGATCCCTTAAGAGCCCAGAGGTTGCACGTCTTTGCACTGGCCGCTGTTTTCCGCAGCAATGAGGCAGTTCATCCAAGTTCTTCATGTAACCAGCTCTCCTCAGCTCATGTGGCGTCCCGGCCAGCTTGACGGGCCCTCAAGTAGCAAAAGGAAGCGCGTCAAACCCTTCGTTTTGGTCTTGTTTTTGCTTTGGGAGGGAAGGATCCAAGAAGTTGCCTTGGTTTCTTAGGGTACCGCCCCAGGAAGAACCAATCCCGCCAACGAAATGAGACTCAGCAACTGCTTCCCCGGCTTCCCCCAAAGCAAGAAAAGACTCGCACAAACCGCATGAAACCAGATGAAACCACCAAAAACGCTCGATCGCAAGCAGTTGAAGACGAGGCCCCACCCCCCCAAAAAGAGAGGCGGGCACATACCTAGAACCTCGTTAGGCAATAATTTCCGATGTTAGGCAAGAGGTTATAGGTATGTTAGATTTTTGCCGATGCGTTCAGGACCACCTTCGAGATCCTGATCCGGTACTTTGCCTTCCGCCGCTTGATGTGGCAGCCGGCGGGAGGGCAGAGAGGTTGGCGAAGGAGGGTAGACGGAGGCTGAATTGACATATTATTTTGTTTGCCGGAAATAGTAGATATCAATAACCTTGATTAAGTGGTCTATGGTACAGTTCCTCAGTGCAGGAGTTTTTGAAGGGCACGCAGACGATTGTGCATAAACAGGACATATTCTGCAGAACACTCCCCGCAGCTATGACTTAGGCCAGTGTAGGGTGTCATTGTTGATTCTGATACTCGAATATATTGACTATTCTTCTTTGCGCGTGTTTGGACATCTTGCGTTCACTCCAAGAATATTTGTATCGTGAAAAGCATGATTTTTGGGGTCCCCCTGAGCCGTCAAAACACGTTTTGGCTCTGCCCTTTGGACACCTTTTTCCTGGAGACACCCCACTCTGAATGGTCTGAGGAGAGCTTTTCACCGTGAACCTGCTGTGCCGGAACTTCTTTTGGGAGCCATGGCCATGGCACTTCTAGGGGGCTTTGCTTAGGGCACCAGAGTTGGGCGGAAAGATGTTGTTCTTTTTGTTTGGCCTAACCTTGCATGCAAAAAAAAAGCCGTGGAAATTGTATGAAGTTGTCATCACTGGATGCGCAAGTTCTTTTGATATGGCATGATATTTTTTGTGAAGTGCGGAGGTGTCACCCTTGTAGGCCCTAGCCCTAGCTGCCTAGCTGAAGGGGTTTCCACTTCCCATAAGAGAATTACTAGATACCATGGCAGCGCCCATTTTGAGGAACTTTGCGCAGGAATGACTAGAGCATCCGATGGAGTTGGGGCTGGTGGATATATTTGCAGCATCCACCCAAAAGGAAGACACATATCTCCACCCATGTGCAGTTCAAGAACTGCAGTTCTCCTTGCAGCGAAACAGCATCGCATCTACTCCCCGTTGGCTTGATGCATAGCATTAGCATGGTCCAAGCATGTCCAAGCCACTGAGCCACTTGCTGGGACTGAGTGCTGATTCTGTTTGTCCAAACGGTCCCTCTTCAGAGGGGTCACACGGGCACGCGCGAAGCGCAGGCTTCGCGCCCAGATCAAGCCAGTTCTTCCAAGTCGAACTTGAACGCTGTCGCAACAAGAACATCCCTGGATGCCAATATCACTTGATCAAGTCTCAGGAAGTGTGAATATCCTCCGTCACCTTAAGACCGGAGCTTCACCCCAAAAAGGCGCATGAAAACCAAAGCTAGAGCAGTGACAACCCTGAGGAGCAAAGCTCGATGTGGCCCGAGGACGGGGTTTTTTGCGTGGAAAACAGGTGGAAACTCTACCTGGATCATCCTGGACATGGGTCCTGTTTGGACCATCCTGGATAGTAGCGGGCTGGGGAGTCCAGCCAGGACACCCAGGTTTGGGAGGGTCCTGGTATGTCCTGGTCAAAGGGCTGTTTTCTGATTGGAGAGATCGAATCACAAGTCGTTTGGTCATTTCACAACCGAAGATGTTCCAGTCTCTGTGAAGTTTGCTGAATGCGAACATGTGGCGCTGCCCAAACCAGATGAATTTTCTAGGGGCTTCACGAAAGAATCATGTAGAACTCGCATGTTGGAAGGAAGATCCGTTTGACCGTGTTTGACCAGATCGCAGATATCGCTCGAGGTTTCATCGGTCCATCAACGAAGGTCATTGACCACAATAAGTTGTGTGTGTGACTATTACCATCTATTACCTACAGCAGTCAGTAAACAATTAACACTGTCACTATATTTTTGGATAAGGGCTGCAAGCTAACCATCATCATCCACTGGGCCCGGGTATTAATGGGACATATACCCAAACAATAAGTTTCGTCGCCCATCGCTGTCAATTCAAGGCTTAAAGAGGCTCGCAAGGCCCGCAAGGCTGCTCATTCTGATTTGTTGTGGGCTGCGACGATGCAGTCTTTGTTTTGTTTTTTCCTCTCCCCTTTGAGATTCATAGTAGACCACTTTCTTTGGAGCAGATATGAGGACATCCACACTTGAACATGACTTACCTTTCATATATGCTTCTGCTGAGCATTCTGCTGAGGCATCGTCTTCCATGGTTCTTGGGTCCAAGACATCACGTGCTTGGAAGTCGGGACATCGCGGGCCGACCACCGACTGGGCAGAAAACGGACCGGAGCACCCAACAAGTCCAGCAATGGGACTTCCCTGATGCTTGCTCCACCCAGGGCGGGTTTCAGGCTTCTTTAGTGCGGACAAGGTTCTTTTTCACTACGGTCCAAAGGGGGGCATTGTTACTTTTTGTGTGTCGGAACCTCCCCCTCGCCATCTCCCTGACGGGTTGCGACGGGTTTAGCTGTGCGACATCGCCCGGGCTGGGGCGGTTCTGGCGAGGATCTGAAGGTTCCGTCGATTGTGACCTTGGCCGCCGATGACCACATCGCCGCTTGAAGCGCCTGTAGTGACATCATGTGTTGTTTGATTTGTTGCTTGAGAATGTCAAAGGTCTTGCTTTTTGCGCCTGCATTGATTGTTGTGCCATGTTGCACCTCAAGAAAATGTGCCTTTCTAAAGTCCAGGTGGTGTTGGTAGATGAAGATTCAGAACATTCTCAGAACCATAGAATCACCTGTTCAACTACGAACTGGCTTTTGGCCCACAGCCTTTAGCCAGGAGAAGCTCCAGCTTGGTTGATGAGCCATGTAGCACTTCCCCCCCCAAGTTCATAGTGAAGACGGCTTGATCTCGGTCGTTGGAGACGAAGTTGCGACTCCATCCTCCACACTGTGTTTCACACGCACATGGCTGGACAGCACCGACCCCTTCTTTTTTGCACAGAGGAGTTAGCTGGTGTCATCGTGGCAGCATCTTCCGGTTGCGATTTTGTTCCCAGCACACCTGGAAGACTTCACAGGGCTTATCGGGCTTCTACTCGACGCGTCACGCTTCTGCGTAGCGGCGGTCACGCATCGCTGGACCTCGCGAGGTCCAGTCGACCTTCGTGAAGCGGCTCTTGGAACATGAGCACCTTGGCAGTGACGGGAACGTTGTGACGTTATGTGGGGACCGAAAAAAAGGTGAGGACATGGGAGACTGCTTCAAAGTAGGAAGAGGCAACATGGGTGTTTTTTTCTCAAAAAAAGTGTTCCTCCAAGACAAAGCAGACCAAGTACAGATAGTACAGGGCATGTTTTGTGACTCTCTTCAAGACCTATATAGATTCCAGATCCTTTCAAACTTATTGTGTTGTTGTTTCTTGTTGTGCCTTACCTTTTTGCTCAGGCTTTCAAACATTCGAGCTTTTTTTGGCATGCTCTTGCCTGGAGAGACGATCCATCCCTCTGGTCACACTGCCCTCGGGTCCCAAGGAAGTCGGCGCGGCGGCTGCATCGCCGCATGGCTTCCAAGAAGACGCGGATCCCAACCTCAGGCACTCGGCGCGTGCGACGCGTGCGACGCGTGCGGCGCGTGGTTCGGAAGTTCGAGGGAGATGGTTTCTTTGACGGTTGTGTGGAGCCCATGCATGAAGTGAGTATGTTGAAGTCACGATTGCTGGGGAAAAGGTCAAAAGATGCCAAATGTCTTTAAGTCATCAGATTTGTAGCTTTTTGGAGGGCGTTGTGTTGGAGTAAGGGAGGTTTGCATGTGGCAAAGTTGCCCCAACTATATAGAAGACTTGAAGAATTCGATTTTCCAAAATCAGATGCAGGTAAATTCAGCCCAGTGATCCAGTTGTTTAGGAAGCGCGATGTGGGGAAATACATGGAAGATGGGCGTTGACAAGAGTACATGCAAAGATGGAGAAGCTAGATGTTTTCCGTATTTTTCCATATTGGTTTCTAATATGGAAAGTGTCTTCTTCCAAGTGAACCACCAATCCCAGACCATCCATGTATATGAAATAGTTCCATCCATTTATCCCATGTATTACGCTATAAGTAAGTAACTTATATGGTCTTATATATGATGTAATAGTGTATTTATATAACTATATATATATAAACAATTTTGCAGGTATCTTATAATACTTGTCTAAGATAATATACATATATATGTACAAATATATGGTATTATCTTGTATGCAATATATTAACTATGCTGATTACATACATCGAGTGTTTGATGTTCCTTCCTCCATCCTTCCCACGGTTTTCCATCGCACGGGAGGCTCCTCCACGGACATCCGGGTGGACACTTTGAACCAATCCGCCACGACGACCGCGCGGCACGGCGGCAGTTTTGGAAGCGAAGGGATGCAAACGTGCCAATTGGGATGGTCCATGAGTCCACGATGGTATTTATGTCAAGTGGTTCGCTTTGGCAAATCATGACAATCATGAACATCACCATGTGTCCTGTTTCCACCCCCCACCCCCAGTTCTAACTATAATTGATTTTTGATGGGGGGGAAGTTCAGCTTGAGAATCTGGGTCACCCTTTTTCCAGACTTGGGTCTTAATGGGAACAGTTGGACTTGTTGTACTGAACGTGCCCAAGCGGGCAGAGAATGATCTGCAAGATATTTGTTCCTAAATTGCATGGCCGCATTTACAGTGACCTGGGGACATCTGGGGGACCGTGTCGCTGTGTCGCTCACAGCCCATTCTCAGGATTTCTTGTGGTCTTCAAATTTTCAAGGGCCAACCCACTTGCAACATCTTGCATCTCGCATCTCGACGAAGGCCAAAGAGACCATCCGGTCGGCCTTTCAGGGGTGCCAAGATGGAATGTGTATTTGTTCATGTGGCCACCTACAATTGAATCTCACACACCAGCAGTCAAAGGGGTGGTGCTTAGTCCCATCCAGGGGCCGTGGATGTTCTGGGCACCCCGAACCTCCATGGATCGCACCCTTTTGTGACTGCTGGCATATTGTTCTATATTGTTCATTTCATGTATTTAGGTGGCCTGTTCATGGCCCATGTCATAAAGCTGCCACCAGTGCAGATCACAGGTGTCCGAGAACTGATGGAAGATCCACTCCCCAGGGGTCACCGGCCAGGTGTGGGCCAGAACGGCTGGAAATCCTTTGGAACGAAGGCTTCTTCCATGGGAAGATCCTTTGTGATCGCCGTGCCCTGACGATCGAAGGGCGGCAGTTGGCCGTGACTTGGGGGGCGACTTGATGTCCCAAAAGGGGCTCTATCTCGTCAGGGGGTGGTGGAAGATCTTGCAAAGGGGTTCCATCTGAGAGAGAGAGAGAGAGATGATTTGTTTGGAAGATACGGACCCAATTTGGCTGCTTTTGGTGAAGTGAAGGTTTGGTGCCCTGACAGGGGGAGGGATGAGACTTCAGGCAGCATTGTTTGGGGGTACTGGATGCTTCGGAGACGTGTTTTGTGTTTCATCAACTGGTATATCCTTGCAGTAGAACGTCTACTAGACTTAGAGTGTTCCCCCAAGATCAGCTAAGATCAGCTAAAGAGCTACCAGGTTCAAGACAGCAGGAGTAGTTGATCAGATCCATTCTTCGCATCGATCTCCTGCTTGACCTGAGAACCTAAGGTGCTCAGGACCGGCTTTTCTCACGTATGAGGTCGTTGGTCCGGGCTGCTGGGCATGAAGGATAAGGTCGCTCCTGGACCCCCAGTCTGGGAGTGGACACCCTTTGACCTAACAAACCCGGAATCCGTGGTGCTGGCCAGTGCTGGCTCATACTTTCTGGTGTTTGTTTCACGGATCCCATGGAAGGTTAATGACAGTTTTAGGACCCAGACGCTCCAGATATATTGATGCCAGATATATTTACCCCAAGCTAGTACCCTCTTCCAGTCCCACGAAGTGCTGGCCAGTGGGAGGTCCAATGCGTCCTGGAAATCTGGGGATCTTCTGGATGAACGGTTATAGTGATATAGTGTGCAATAGTGTTCTCATGTGTTCTCTGTGGTTGTCGCAACACCCTTTTGACCTTGGCCTCGGTGGGGCATTTTCCTCTTCATGCCACAAACCGACTGCAACAAGAGACTGGAAGGTGAGAATCACAAAGTAGCTTCGCATTTGAAAGAAGACCGGTCGAAGAACATGGTTGCAAGTTGCATGATTCCTTTTTCAGGCATCCCATGCTTATTTTGAGGAGGAGCATTTTCTTGAATAAAGGCTTGCTGGGCAGGGCTTGGCTCAGCATTGAGTTTGCAAAGCCACCTCCTGGTGGGCACCTTTCAATAATATGACAGTGGGTCAGGTTCCTCGGGGACCCGGATTGACCACTGAAAAAAAACACAGAATAGACCAAGGAGATCAACCTGATTAGGGGTCCGGGCTTTTGACTCACTGCCACGTCCTGTTCGACTGCGAGGCGGTTCGACTGGGTGAAACCCGATGTTTTTTGTCGTTGTTTGAGAGTCAACCTGCGAATCGCTGGTGCCAATCGCAGTGAGCAACAGCAGTGTTGAGGGTTTGGTTGAGTGGTCTCCTGCTACACCGAATCCGAAGGATTGGCCGCCCAGTTGATGTGGACCTCCGTTGTTGCTTCCTCAAATTCAGGAGGCCATGTCCTGAGAAAGCATGACCATGATTCATGCCAAACTCGGAGGATCAAATAGGTTGGACCCCATCCCCTCCTAAGGGGCCTCAATGTTTCAGCAGGGCCTACCTGAAATGATGGTCTAAGCTAGCAATACAAGAGCCCACAACTACGTAGTGCAAAAACCAGATCATTCTAGGTTTCTGCTGCTGGTTGCTGGTTGCTGGTACGTTTGCATCCGCTGAGGATGATGAAACGGAGAACTAGGCGCGAGCCCTCCGCCCTCGCCCTTCGCCTCCACCGATCTCTGGCCAATGGACGTGAGGGAAGGGTTCTCCCTCGTCGATGGAATGCATAGCATAGCATATGTATGTTTGAGTTGGGCAGCAAAAATCAGGTGGGGTGGCGCCGGTTTGGGGGGGTGCAGTCCTGGTGCTTGATTTTTCGATGATTCTTCGATGATTCTTCTCAAGAAGCTTTTGTATCAACCGTTGGCAGGTCCAAAGTGCCAGGAGAGACGTTTCAATGTGGTGATGCGATCATGCCCTAAGAATTCCTTGCATCAAAACAGGGTTTATCGTCGATTCCGAGCCATTAATTGGATCCAAAGAGGCGAGGCACTTGACTCTTGCCTCGCGATTCGCGATTCCCAGGTGCAAAGTACCGTTTGTATTTCCAGTGTAGTCGTGGATCCCTTTTGGGTTACTAAGACGCAGATGCGGCAGATGTTTCTCAATGCAGCCCCCACCATCCCATGACATCGACCGAGGCCGACGAAGTGAGAAGCTGTGCTGCGAGCTCCGAATTCTTTGCTTTTCCGGTCAGAGGAAGCCGTGGTGCGGAGCGAGAGGTGGCCGGAAGGCGGGGAAAGACGGCTTGCACCCCAGAACTAGCAAAGATGCAGTATATAGATGCAATATATACGACATGTTTGGATCCCAAAGGTGCAAACCCCTCCGATGGTTCATGTGACAAACCTCTCGGATATCCCAGATGGGCTACTTGGACTCATTCTGCCTTACAGAGCGCTTTGAAATCGAACAACTGCTCTCGACCTCTCGTCTCTGACGGCAGCTTTGACTGGTGCGTGGCGCTTCGAAGCCGGAGTCAATGAAGAACAATTATCGGAGGGAAGAAGTGCAGTAAGCAGGACACCCACACCTTCCACGTCCGTCCATCAAGCATCCTTGATGGCCAGGCAAGCAAGGGCCCATGTTGTTTTTAGCGTTTGTTGGTCCATGTGACTCTTTGCCAGATTCCATCAGACCTTTGAGCCCTGCTCCTTCGGGGTTTGCCAAAAATCGCTCAGGCCCAAAATCCGACGAGTTCTTGCATCGCGCTCGCGTTGCTGTAGAAACCGGACCAGAATTCTTCACAGCTCCCGAATTTCCGGCTTCGAGGATGACCAGTTTCAGCTTCGTTGCGAAGTGCCGTGCCGCGCGGGCGACGTGCCTTGGAACGGCCGGTCGTTGGGGTCGTGCCGGTTCACCGGTCATTCACCGGTGCCGCACCCGGGCCACCCGTTTCACGCAGAGATGCACTGCCGGTGAGGAGCGATCGGTCGGGTCGTGCACCTTTCTTTTGGGCTGAGAGGCAGGGGAAAGGATCCATTTCTTCAAAAGACCATTAAAATATGGACGTTGTAGTCTTGAAAACCATTTTGACAACCATTTCCCAGCCAAAATGAGGGTTGCTTGTTGCACAACCCGGTAAGTTATATTGCAAAAAGAACATCCGTTTTCGAGCTAAACGGTGCCGCTGGTAGTGTGTGAATCTGACAAATTGTTGGAAGAGTGGCGATTGTGAATCTACACATTCCTTTTAGAATGTGTGATTTCCGACCAATTCGTTTTGAACAAGTGCTTGGGACCAGGGTGCGGATTTCGACTCTTTTACGACGAAGCAGCCCGCTGGTGGTCCCCGGCGTTGAGAAACCATGAGCTTGCACCTGATGACCTGCCCCGTGGGTCATAGTCAGGGTTGGACCTCATGGAGAGTATGAAACAACTGAAGCCACCCCCAGGATTTCACTGGATTCTCCAATAACGACTCCAGCAAAATGATTGACTTGTATACGGTATACGCATGATTGAAGCAGCTCTTTACTGCGTAGTGGCTTGGCCGCTTGGCCCTTTGGTCCAGGCTCATGTTAGATATTAGTTAAGAAGTGTTTGTCATGAGTCATGTTGTTGCAAATGAGTGCAGCACGAGGATCAGAGCATCGCTTCTTGCCATTCCGTGTGTTCCTCGCTTTTGGCGACACCTGCGTTGAAGAAATGACGCTGCAGCGTTGAGCACCCCTACCAGATACCACAAGTGATTATATAGCCACCATAGAAAGCCATAGAATACATGCGAATATTTGCACTGTGTGTTTTTTTTTTGGTGTTTATGACTTCTTTTGGGTCTTGAAGTCTTCTACGTGTAGCCGGTGCTGAGTCTTCCCAAGCACCGTCCTCCACGTGCTGTTCTGCGAGAATGCCAGGTTCTCGGAGGCCATCGCCTTGTTGAGAAGAGAAGGCCGGCGTCGATGTGTTCTGCGCCGCAGATGGACGGGGTCGGTGTAATCGTTTGGAGGGAAAGAACTTTGGAGGGTCGACTTGCCAGGACCATCCTGTCTGGGTGTCCTTACCAGGACATCTGTAGGGAAGTCCAGCCAGGACACCCAGACAGGATGGTCCTGGTATGTATGTGTTTTATTGTTTTTGATGTTCTGTGTAGTTGTTTTCCTGAGTTTTGACCCACATGGGTAATTGGTTGGTTTGACATTCTGCAGCTTCTTGCACAGCAGCATGATGTATTTGTTAGCATGAACCCCCCAAAGCTATACTGGTTTGTCAGAGACATGTTCCGAGCATCGAACCTATACTTTCACACCGTGCAGTCCCTCCAAACAACAAATTAGCAGAACCCTCGTAAAGGACCTTTCCTGTCAGTAGTGTCCATCATATTCAAAGCCAAAGAGTATCCCAGACGCTGGTGACTACCTGGTATACCTACGTTGGGGTGGTTGAAGTCGGAGTCCATGGGCCCAAGTGGCCGGACTGGTCCTCTGGAGGCCCTCCGATCTTGGAGCAGAGGATCAAGGCGCGCGGCTGCGCGCAGCACGCGGCGGACGGTCAGACCGGTGCAAGGTGGCACACACAACACGAGCCGATGGGACTGGGATATCTGCCGTATTTGATCCCCCGAAATGCAATCACCCCTGGCCATTTCTCGGCAAAGATGGTAGTTTCACGGAGTGTTTCGGTAGTTGGTGAGCTTTAGAGGCATATTAATCGTAGGTCAACCTTTTGAATTGATGGAACGAAATGGAACTACTCAGAAAAATCAAACCTACCCAGAATTCATCAAGCAGGGAAACCTTTGCCGGACACTCACCTTCCGTTCCTTCCGTTCGGAAAACCCGGAGTTGTTCCTACCTTTTCAACTGGACTGCCCAGAACTGGGCGGACTTGTCACCTCCAGGATGCGGCCAGTGACTATGACCGAAAGATCCTCGAAAAGCACCTCGCGTCGGGGCCGTCACCACCTCACCTCGACCGGACGAAGTGACGGTGCACAACGGAGGTTTCGAAGCAGAAAACGGGAAAACGACGGTGCATGAAAAAGGCAGAGTCATATCTTTGGGCAGCTGGCAGGCTGGCAAGCAAGAAAATCAAGGAACGAACAAGAATGTGTTCATTTGGGAACCTTTTCAGAACCAGGAGCAATGCAGGACCAGGATGTGATTTTCTTGAGTTTATCATGGTTTCAGCCTATATATACACTGGGTGTGTGTGTGCAAGAATATCCGAGTTTTCCAGAGGCTGGCGCAAATAAAAGACTTGCTTGTCCTTTGGTTTCTTCATGGCTTGGTCTTTCCGACATTTGCCCTCATCCCTCGAAGATCCACAAAGTGTTTGTTTGTTCTTGTTGACCCGCACTTGAGCTTGCAGTCACAAACCTTCAAGAGATTTCAAGAGCAAATGTCAAGAAACGGTGATAGTGATGCCTCGTGTTGCACCATCCTATGAACTTCAATTCATCCTCCATCTCTCTCTGCCGGTTGCGAACCCCACCACCACGCACAATAGGTCGGTGAAGGCGCATGAGGAGAACGAGGAGACCCGCCTGACATCCCATGCTGACTGATCTGTCCCATGTCCCATGCCGGACATCGGGCACGACATCGGTTCTGTCCAAATGACCACATCGTCCAAATCCAAATCCTTTGTGGAAGCGCGGGGTGCCGTCCCCGAGATTTGGGGGCTCTTGAGGGGTGTTCACAAACCATTTCTAGAGTTAAAGACCTGGTCGCCATCGGCGGCCTCTCGTATGTTCCATGTTCTCATGTTTGATCCCTGGGTTTCGCTGGGTTGGGTGGCAGGACATCAGCACAGAGGATGAGAAGGTGCGAGCTGTTTGGGGTGTGTGAATGTTATCGGGCTCTTGGTCTTTGGGAATCGTCTCCTGATGGGATACGATGTAGGAACAACGTCAAAGCGGGTAGACCAGATGATAGAATGCCGCCACTTTTCTATGACACAGGCGATCGATCCGCTACTTCAAAAGGGCAAACCACTTGAGAGAAATGGTTCTCATACATTCGCATGCTGGCAACCCTCAGAATTCACAGGGGAGGGCATGTTTGCTGTGTCATGTGGACAGCGCTTGCCGCCGCTCGACTGACGAGAATGAAGGAGCAGAATTATTCGTTTATGTCACGCGGATCATCCCACCAAGAAGGTCATGAATGCAAGTCCAGACTGTCTAGAGTCTAGACAGAGATGGTAGGTGTTTGACACACCCACGTCAACTTGGCAAATAGTAACAAATAGTAGGAGGTCCTCAGCTCCATATTTGGTGCAGGACTTTGTTTACAACGTTTTGTGTTGGCTATGTGTGACATATGCTTCCCCGCCTCCAAAAAGCGTAGCCACGAAGCGTACGGCAGTTGCTGGGCATTATCATCCACAAGACGCACGGTGAAGATTTCTACATCATTGACAAGTTCCCCAAGGAGTCTTCAGAGCTTGCACTTCTGGAGCGGATGGCCTTGCACTCCCACGCCCCAGGGTCTCTATCAGTGCTTCCTCCAGCACACTAATTCACTTGGAAAACTCATGGGGCTTTTACATTAGATATTAGTCTGGTTTTGTTAGGATTGTGATGTTCCCATGTTTCATTATGTGTCAAAAAATGTGTCCGAAGCGATTGTACAACCCTCCAAAGGAAGAACAGGTATAGTATAGAATAGTATAGAATTAATGGTCATGCACGGGAAC